GCCTGAGAGACCAGGACACCCTCTGCCACAGCCTGAGAGACCAGGACACCCTCTGTCACAGCCTGAGAGACCAGGACACCCTCTGTCACAGTCTGGCCATGATCTCCAGATGGCAACGGGACACAGGAAACTGCCGGCATCAAAGGCGAGTTCACAAGTGAACGTTTTGTAGTCCCTCCTCCCGGGGCTGTGTGCTGTGGAGCCCTGAGTACCCACAGGCACTCTGCACTCGCCTTGCCGTGACAATCTAAGTAGGAAGACATGTCCCCGAGCTCAGCACACTCGCACTGCAGAGCCCTCAGTGCGCTCTAGGACCAGAGAGGATGCGCAGGCTGCAAGCAAGAAGCATATTTCTTTTAAGTTTCCTTTTTTATATCTAATATTCACACTAATTTTACAACCTATTGCAAAACGAGGAGCCTTGGTGGTGCAGTGATTAAAGCATTAACGGAAATGGATAACTTCTCTCAGACCTTCGATTTACTGACACTTCAAAAAGGCGTGCCAAGCGCTGAGCTCAGGTTCACAGTGGCCACCCCAGGAGGCCAGGCTTGAGATGCAGGCGATTCAGGTGCAAGCGCGGCCCCTAGCGGCCAGACAGTGTTCAGTTCAGCAGTCACTGGTTACTCCTTCCCTCTCCAACCCGGGCCTCACGAGCACCAAGGTCTGTGTGTGCTATCCTCTCAGACGCTGTGCCGTTTCACACCTATGTGCCCTGACAGAAATTGCTCCTTTTTCGCTCATGTCTGTTGTTAGGTGCTGACGAGTCAATTCCCACGCGTAGCAATCCTAGGTACAACAGAAGAAACCGCTGCCCTGTCCTGCACCATCCTCACAACCGTTATGACTGAGCCCGTTGTTGCAGCCACTGTGTCAGTCCATGTCCTTGAGGGGTTTCTTCTTTTTCGTTGACCCTCTACTTTCCCAAGCATGATGTCCTTCTCCAGGGACTGCTCCCTCCTGATAACATGTCCAAAGATGCAAGACGAAATCTCGCCACCCTCACTTCTAAGGAGCATTCTGACTGTATTTCTTCCAAAACAGATTTGTTCACTCTTCCGGCAGTCCGTGGGATATTCAATATTCTTCACCAACGCCATAACTCAAAGGCGTCAATTCTTCTTCGGTCTTCCTTATTCGTGGTCCAGTATTCATGCATGTGAGGCGATTGAAAACACCGTGGCCTCGGTCTGGCGCACCTAAGTCCTTAAAGTGACATCTTTGCATTTTAACACCTCAAAGAGGTCTTCCGCAGCAGATTTGCCCAATGCAACGCGTCGTTTGATTTCCTGACTGCTGCTTCCACGGGCATCGATTGTGGAGGCTGTACACTGGACGTGGAAACTGAAGACAACATGGAGGCCCTTGTGCCAAGCCTGGCGAACGTGGCTGAAGCCTGGGCTCACGGGGCAGCATTTCAAAATAATAAGTAAGCTAAATTGCAGACGTTATCAACTAGCTTGTTTCCTAGATTTATGTGCGTCTTTAGCTCCTGGATTCCAGACAAGCAGGTGCCTAGCCATTTGGGAACCTGCACTGGCCGGCACTGACCTCTGGAGACCAGCGGCGTTTGTCTTCTTAGCCAAACACAATTCTCAGAGAACAGGACTTCAAAGGGGCATTCTGATAAATTCCCAAAGGGCGGATGGGAACCGCCCAGACTTCCCTGACTCTGTTCCTCGTGCTATGAAACCCCGATACTGCCCATCTCTGGAACACTCAGTCTCAGGCTGTGGGTTGCCCAATTTGCAAATTGTATGATCGACTAATAAAGCTCTGTCGTTGCTTAAGGAGCTCTGGTGGTGCAGTGGTTAAAGCACTTGGCTGCTAACCGAAAGGTCGGCAGCTTGAACCCACCAGCCGCTCTGCAGGATCAAGATCTGGCAGTCTCCTTCTGTAAAGGTTACAGCCTTGCAAACCTTATGGGGCAGACCTACCCTGTCCTACAGGGTCGCTATGAGTCAGAATCCACTCGACAGCAACGGGGTACGGGTACGGGCAGCACTGTTTGAACTTTCTCTCCACTCTTAGAAGTCATTTAACATCTCCTCAATCTACCTGTTGCTGTTGCTGCCGTCCACTTGGCCCCCGACTCACAGTGACCTCATGCACAACGGAATGAGACACTGCCCCGTCCTGCGCCATCCCCGTGACTGCCTGCAGATCCAACCGTTGGGCTCCATAGGGTTTTCATCGGCTGATTTTCAGAAGCAGATCAGCAGGTCTTTCTTACTAATCTTTGTCTGGAAGCTCCGCTGAAACTTGTTCAGCATCACGCAAGCCTCCACTGAGGACGGGTGGTGGCTGCGCATGAGGTGCACTGGCTGGTGTGGAAGGTGAGAATTCCATCGATGAACCGCCACTGCTCTCATCTAATCCACCTGCTAAATGCCTACTTTACAATCAACACCCGGCGCACCCTTCACCTTGTCCTGAAGCCTTCCAGCCACCACCCCCAATCAATCACTCCATCCTCTGTATTAAGGACACACATTTCTATGCCCTGATGAGACAGAAAACACTGCAAACACCCTAGGGCACTGCAAAGAACCGGCACATACTAGGTACCTTTAATGCCTTTTCATTGACCCGAGGCTCAGTGAATGCTTTATCACATTGTATCCCACTACTATCAAAAATACTCTTACCCTGCACGACCATTTCTCTCCTCGGAGCAGTGAGCGGGCGCTGGGGGTTCGTCTTCGGGATGATGGTTCTAAGAACCACGTCGAGGTCGCGCGGCGCGTCTTCCTGCGGTGCGGCCTCGGAGCGGGCGAGGAAAGCCAGCATCTCCCCATTGCTGCTGGCGAGGTTCCGGGAGAAATCTCCCCAGAGAGAATCCAGCTCCGAGGCGGAGAAGCCGTCCTCCCCGACCCCAGCCCTGCTCGGCTGCCCGGGGTCCCTCGGCTCCTCGCCTTGCTGGCGCTGGCCCTGGGCCTCCCCAGGTCCGCGCTCCGCCGTGCCCCGCTCGGGTCCTGCTCGCGGTCTGGGGCTCGGGCTGCCCTCGGGGGACCCCTGGCCGGGTCCCGCTCCCCGCTCCTCCGGTCCGCGGCCTGCGCTCGGCCAGGGGCCGCGGCCCTCAGCGCGGGGCAGGGCGGCGCTCCGGCGGGCTTCCAGACGGGCGCCGCACAGCCGCCTGTTGGCCACCTGCGGCCTCTCCAGCCACACGGCCACGGCGGCCCAGAAGCCCCCCGGGAGCAGCGCGCCAGGGTCGAGCACCTCCGCCCGGCCCACCTCCGCCATGATCCGCCGGCACCCGGAGCCTGGGAGCGGCGCGGCGCGATGACGCAACCCCGCGCGCCGGCGTCGCTGCGCTTGACGTCATGGGGCGGGGTGCTGGGGCGGGGAAAGGTAACGAGAAAGGAAATAACTTCCTTTCCCTTTTATGATGTCTATGGCTGCGTGTATATTAATCTAAGTGAAGAGTTCGTCTCTTCTGTACGCGCCACGCCACAACGGACGGGCGCTTGCCCGGGCCTCTGGTGGGCCCCAGTGCGCAGGCGCCGGAATGGCCTGGGAGGGGAGGGGAGGGGCGGGGAGGATGGCGATGAGGCCGGGCCGAATGCCACCAAGGAACGTACCGGGCGTTGCGGAAAGTGGGGCCGGGAAACGCGGGCAGTGGTGGTTCCGTGGTAGAATTCTCACCCTCTATGTGGGAGACCCGGGTTTATGTGCCTGCCTCCCCCGCTGCCCTCAAATCTGTCCCCGCACAGGACTGCCCAGAGGAGGGAGGGCGTAGCTTGCACTGGAGGGCGGGCTGCGTACCTCGATTAGGAAGAATGTCCCAGGGGAGCCCCGCTTGGGAAGACGAGGTGAATCGTAAGAGGCCGGGGAGGGGAGCGTGCTGGGGAAGACTGGAGCCTAAGGCCTGAAAAGGATCAGGGGTCCAACTGCGAAGTTCTTGGTTGAGGAACTTCACCTTTGCTCTTTTTCTCTTGGGATCCATCCGAGATGTGTTGGTGCCAGATAGTAAGGATCCAAGCTGACCTTCGAAAGAGAATTCTGGACGTGGAAGATTTATAGAATCCTAAAGATGGCCCAAGAGAGTGGATTTGGCATCTAGCTGATTGCACCATTGCTTATTGACGCAAGTCAAGGAACCTAAATTGTGAATGTTCAAAATTACTCTTCCGCGGCTTGGAAGGAGAAAGACCTGTCAATCTGCTTCTGTAAAGATTACAGCCAAGAAACCCTATGGGGTAGTTATACTCTAGTCATATGGGGTGGCTGTGAGTGGGAATCGAGTCCATGGTGCACATCAACGATGAAAACTCACTTTTTTTCCACTTGCATTCTGGGTTTGCTTTCTTTTGTGGGAGAGTTACAGCTAAGTGCATTCCTCAGCCTGGGCACCGCCATGGATGCTTCTTAGCCCAAAAGTCGTCTGTCTCCTACAGGTCCCCAGGAGGAACAGAGACAGTTAACCAGTTGCCATCAAGGCAATTCCAACTCATGACATTGCTGCGTGGCACAATCAGTTAAGCACTTAGCTACTAACCAGAAGGTTGGTGATTTGAATCCAGCTAGAGGTGCCTCAGAAGAAAGGCTTGGTGATCTTCCAAAAGGTCACAGCTACGAAACCTATGGAGCAGTTCTACTCTGCACACTGGGGTCACGATGAGAGAAGGTCGAGTACTGCCTCTTAGTCATCTAGTGCTGCTGTAACAGAAATACCACGAGTGGATGGCTTTAACAAAGAGAAAATTTATTTCTTCACAGTAAAGTAGGCTAAAAGTCCAAATTCAGGGTGTCAGCTCCAGGGGAAGGCTTTCTCTCTCTGTCGGCCTTCATCAGTCTTCCCCCAGACTAGGAGCTTCTCTGCGCAGGGACCCTGGTCCATAGGACACGCTCTGCTCCTGGCACGGCTTTCTTGGTGATATGAGGTCCCCTACCCTCTGCTTGTTTTCCTTTCCTTTTATCTCTTGTAAGATAAAAGGTGGTATAGGTCACACCTCAGGGAAACTCCCTTTACATTGGATCAGGGATGTGACCTTAGTAAGGGTGTTACACTCCCACGGTAAGCCTCTTTAACATAAAATTACAATTGCAGAATGGAAGACAACCACACAATAGTGGGAATCATGGCCCAGCCGAATGGATACGCACGTTTTTGGGGGACATAATTCAGTCCATGACACTGCCAGTATAGTCCGACGTCACCAGCATCTAGTCTGCAGGTTCTCTTGTGAAATCCAAAGGATAATGTGGGTAAAACGTCAAAGATTCCTCCTTCCTTCTTTTTGTACATTAGTCCCTCAGCTGAGATTTTGCCATTCCCTAAAATGGGGGCAGTGGTAGAATTCTCACCTTCCGTATGGAAGACCCAGGTTCAATTCCCAGCCAATGCACCTCATGCACAGGCACCACCCCTCTGTCAGTGGAGGCTTGCATGTTGCTGGGATGCTGAACAGATTTCAGCAGAGCTTACAGACTAAGAAGAAAGGCCTGGTGATCTGCTTCAGAAAATCAGCCAATGAAAACCCTATGGATCACAGCAGTCGGATCCGCAACCAATCGTAGAAATGGTGCGGAAACGGGCAGTATTTGTTCCACTGTGTGTGGGGTCACCATGAGTCGGGCTGATGCGACAGCAGCTAGCAATAACACACTCTTCTGCATGTCACATGGGCATTGCAGAGAGAGGTTGATAAGCAGAGACTCGTGGGCCTTTGGATTGAAGGGTCATAAGCCCAGAGGCCAATGTTTCAGAGGGAGGTGCAAAATCCGGTGTGATATGGGTGGTATTCTCTCACAAGATCATGTCAATTCCATGCTGGAAATCCTATTGAACTAAAAATACAATTAACCTGCCTCCTGCCTCAACACCTCGCAGGATCTGGCTCCTAGCTCCCTTTCCAACCTCATTTCCCATCCACGGAGTCCGTGCCACAGTGATCTGTTTGTTCTCTGAACTGGCCAAGCTCATTCCTGCCTTGGAGCTTTTCTACCAGGTGTTTCTTCTGCATGGAATGCTCACAACCAGGTCTTCCCCCCATTCAGGAATCACCTTAAATGCCCCCTCCTTAGAGGGGCTTCCCTGGCCAGCCAGTCAAATAACCCCGAACGCTTTGTATCTTATTGCCCTATGTTGTTTTCTTATAATTATTCCAACCTTGTTGTTTGTGGTCTCTACCTTTGAGAACATAAGCTTCGACAGGTTGGGAACCTGTCTGACTTGTTTATCACCATCGTTATCGTTGCCCAACTCAGGGTGACCCCACACACAAGAGAACAAAACGTTGCCCCACCTTCATGATCAGACCATTGTAATCCACAGGATTTTCATTGACTGATTTCTTCCTAGTCTGTCTTAGTCTGGAAGCTCTGCTGAATCCTGTTCATCATCCTAGCAACACGCAAGCCTCCACAAACAGACGGGCGGTGGCTGGGCATGGCCCTAGTGTATTTTTCAGCACTTAGGAAAACACCCAGTGAATAACTGCTGAATGAAAAGATCACCAAGTGAAGGTGTGGCAGGAGAGCTCCGCAGTGGGAAGGCTGTCCAGGACGGCCTCTCACTGTTGCTGGGCTTAGACAGCAAGGGGGCAGCTGGCAAGAACCAGGCTTAGGTCAAGGGTCCAACCCACTCCCTGGGCTGGGGAGTAATCTCTAGTCAACACTACCCTGTGGAATTGGCTGTGATGATGGAAATGTTCTGTGTCTGTGTTACCCAATATAGTACCCACTAGTCACATGTGGGAGCCCTGGTGGTGCAGTGGTTAAGAGGTTGGCTGCGAACTAAAAGTTCGACAGTTCAAATCCACCAGTTGCTCCTTGGAAACCCAATAGGGCAGCTCCACTCTGTCCTATAGGGTTGCTATGAGTCTGAACTGACTTGATGGCACATAACAAGAACAACAGTCACGTGTGTTTTGTTTGCAACTGTTTCTTCTCATTTTGAGTCATGCCACATCAGCAAACGAAAGTGCCAAGAGCTTGAGTCCATTCGTGTCATTAAAGTCGACTCTCCTTTGAGGAGGCAGCTCTTCCTCAGCCATATTTTGAGTGCCTTCCAACTGGAGGGGCTCATCTTCCAGCATTTGAAAGAGAAAGACCCTCAACGAGATGGATTGACATGGTGGCTCCAACCATGGGCTCAAGCAAGGCAACGATTGTGTGGATGGCGCAAGGCTGGGCAGTGTTCCGTTCTGTTGCACAGTGTCGATAGGAGTCATAACCCACTCGAAAGCACCTAACAACAACGACAACAGTCACATGTGGCTACTGAGCGCTTGCAATAGAGCTACTGCAACTAGGGCACTGAATGTGAAATTTGTTGTTGTGTTTGTTAGCTGCTGTCAAGTGGGCTCTAACTCATAGGGACCTCGTGTACAATAGAAGGGAGCGTTGCTCAGTCCTGGGACCTCGTGTACAATAGAAGGGAGCGTTGCTCAGTCCTGGGACCTCGTGTACAATAGAAGGGAGCGTTGCTCAGTCCTGGGACCTCGTGTACAATAGAAGGGAGCGTTGCTCAGTCCTGGGACCTCGTGTACAATAGAAGGGAGCGTTGCTCAGTCCTGGGACCTCGTGTACAATAGAAGGGAGCGTTGCTCAGTCCTGGGACCTCGTGTACAATAGAAGGGAGCGTTGCTCAGTCCTGGGACCTCGTGTACAATAGAAGGGAGCGTTGCTCAGTCCTGGGACCTCGTGTACAATAGAAGGGAGCGTTGCTCAGTCCTGGGACCTCGTGTACAATAGAAGGGAGCGTTGCTCAGTCCTGCGCCATCTTCATAATCGGCGTGTTTGAGCCCATTGTTGTGTGGCAATCCATCCAATGGAGGGTCTCCCTCATTTTTTTTGGCTCTCTACCAAACATGGTGTCCTTTTCTAGTGATTGGTCTTTCCTGACGATGTGTCTAAAGTAAGCGAGTCCAAGGCTTGCCGTTCTGCTTCTAAGGAGCATCCTGGCTGTATTTCTTCTAAGACGGACTTGTTTGTTCTTTTGGAAGGCCACGGTGTATTCGGTATTCTTTGTCAACAGCCCAGTTTGAATGCATCAATTCTTCTGTCTTCTTTTTTAACTACCCAACTTTCACATGTATGTGAAGTGACTGGGTCAGACATGCCTTAATCATCAAAGTGACATATTTGCTTGTTAAAATTTTAAGGAGGTTTTATCTATACCCTAGGCATTAGTGAACTGAAACGGCCACTCTTAATCCAACAAACATATGGTCTAGTATGCTGGGAGTGACAAATTGAAGAGGAACAACATAGTAAAGAGGAATATTTCAAGATCTATCCAGAAGTAC